AATATCAAAGAATTAAGGTTCTGAGAGACTAAATGACTTCAAAAAGCACACAGTAATTGCCAGAGTGGGAATGTGAACTCAAACTCCAGTTTCCCCACCAGGCGCAAGACTCACATCTGTAATCCTAGCTACTTGGAAGGATGAGATCAGGAGGGTTGTGGTTCAAGGCCAGCCCAGGCAAAAAGTTCACAAGACCCTATCTCAAAAGAAAAGGTTGGGCATGGCGGTATGCGTCTGTCATTCCAGCTACAAGGGAAAGCATAAAGAGGAAGCTTGTATTCCAGGGTGGCCCAGGCAAAAAGAGACAACCCATCTCAAAAATAGCCAGAGGAAAAAAAAGGACTGGAGGTGTGGCTCACATTGTAAAGTGCCTGCCCTGAGTTCAAGCTCTAATACCACAAAAAAAAAAAAAAAAACCTCTCCAGTCTCCCAATATTTTCTGTTCTTTCCCTACCCCCACCAACCTTCCTAATTCCTTTCAGCCACCTATTCTGACCAGAAGCGTGTGGAGTTCTTCCTTTGGTTTGCATTTGCGATCTCCCCTATCTGCACCTCCTCTTTACTTTACTGCAGGAATTTTCCACCCTCTATGATCCCAGAGATACCACACAGTCCTCATTCAAACAATGCCAATGGAGGAAAAAGAAATAAGGCAGATCCAATGGGAGAGGGGGTATAAAAACCAGGGAGGAGAGATTCCTGTGCCACAGTTCCAATAAAGGAGGAAGCACTGATCCAGGGAGGACAGCAAAAAAAAATCCTTCCACCAAGTCCTAAGAGAAAAAATGCTCCCTTTTCTCTAGAGGTCTAGGAAGCCACAGTTTATCCTGCAATCTTCACAGCAGCTCCACAGTTATATGCAAAGAAAGGAGAACAGCAGCATGATTTTCAAAACTGGTAAGAGCTACACAAGATTACTCCACAGGGCACATACAAAATGAGGACCAAAGGTAGGGTAAATGAATGGGGCACCCAGTCCAGTCCCTCAGCTTCTTTCTCCTGCCCTCTGGATCTCCCCAGAACATTCGAAAAATGTGAATGTGTCACAAATACATATTATCCCATTACCTATGTAGTCATTCACACACATACATACATCATCTCATGCATACCTCAGGCAATTTCGGTTATTCAGGTAAGTGCATACCTTCCCAACACTTTGATTATCATACATGCTACTTATAAACCTAAAAATAAGGAGATATCATCATGGAGCTTTGCTTCCGGCACTCACATCAACCTTTACCCAGACACATATGTATACTTGTGAGACATTCACAATTTCAACCTGATGGCTCATTCACACGATCCAAATGTCATAGCTTTTGTATCCTCTCTATAACTGATTCAATTCTAAGCTATGTCCTGAGATCCCCAAACCCTACACCTTTTAAGTATCACCTGCTCAAAAAACAGCAGCAACATCATCTCCCTTTCCTCCATCTTCGTTTCCTCCCTCCCCCCTCCTGCTCAGAGGAATATACACACGCACCACAAAAATCAGAGGCAGAACTGGACTTCATGACATACACATATATATATTCATTATTCATTTGTTCATTCCTTTATTTAAGAGAATTTATTGAGTGCCTATTAGGCTCAAGGTACCACCTTAGACTCTGATGAAATGAAGATGAGCAAAAATCATTCCCAGCTGGGTCCTGACTCTAAGCTCAGCTGTCATGACCTTAAACCACAGCACAGGACTTGGGCCAAGACCTTTGGGATCCTGAGTGTGAACCAAGGGAGGAAAAAAGAAAAAGGGACTATGTCTACACTGTCCCATGGGAAGGAGGAAGTTCTGTCTATAAAATTCCAAGAGAAACTGGAGCAGAGAAATGAGAGTGATGTTTGTACTATCCTGAGAGAGAAAACCCATATGTATGTTTTTCCTGTGTGTATAAATGCCACCCCCCAAAAAAAAAAAAAATTAGGCAGAAACCCAGAGTGTTAGAATTTTATCACTTGGATAGGTACAGCAAAGAGAGGAAAAGGGTGCCTCTCCCACTCTACACACCACTGTACAGTGTTGAGTCAGATTCCAAGCTCCATGAGAGCGGGGACTAAGTCCATTTTGTGTCCCTAGCTTTCAGCACACTACCTAACCCACAAGAGGCACGCTTACTGTTGTTGGATGAATAAATGAGCTGAGGCAGCAAACCAATTTCTGCTCAGAGTTTTTTTGTTTTTTTTTTTTAATTTACAAAAGACACGAAAAAAACTTCTTCTACCTTGACTGTCCCTCCCCACATTCCCCAAAGCCTTCTGGTCTCAGACGCAGATGGAGAGCCAAGTCAAATCCTTCATCTTGGGGTTGGAGATGATGAAAAGCATCCTGACCAACCCACGATTTCCAGACTGCCTCTCCCAGCCTCTCTCCTACCTCAGTTTATAAGTCTGGTTATTTAAGAAAATTTTCCTGCTAATTAGAGGTAAAACCCACAGTAGGAGACTTTTTCCAGTTCATATGCTCTAGATTCTCAATTTATCCTTGACAGGGTACTAGCGTGGGAAACAGAATTCTTGGATGTTCTTTCCAATAAGAATCTTCCATGCACAGTTATATTAGTGGGGGCTTTTTATTCAGAGGCAAAAAACACCTTAAAGAGAGTCTACATGTCCTAGATTAGAAATTAAAAGGAGAGGGAGTAGGATATGTTGAATCAAGATAGATAGATATAGATATATAGATATTCCATCTGTCTTTATTTCCATTCAGTACCCAGTCCAAAGATAATCATGTCTACCTCCCTATGTCCAGACTAAACAACTTCTTCCTACCCTACCCCATAGGGGGAGGAAGAGCTCTACTTCCATTTAAGGGAATTCCTCCTTTCTCACCTCTTTAGAAACCATCTGACACAGAGTTGGGAACTCGGTTTAGTTGCTACTCAGCAAAAGCCCTTAAAGTCTTTTCTTTCCTTTCATCTAACTGTCAAACCTTCCCCAATATTCAAACAAGGCCAAATCCAGAAAGCCATCAATTTGGGATCTACCTTAATATCAAGATCTTTCTCTGCTTTGAGAAAATGAAACTGAGAATCTACTCCTGGTGATTAATAATCACAAAAGAGTACTTTTTAGCTTGCTACACTCCTGAGGACTAGATTGCTGAAGTGAGTGAACACCAGAATAATCTAATCAACACAATTAGTGATCCTTGCCCACTATGTAAGGCCATCTCTGCTAAGGCACTCTAGAGGAACAGCTGCCTCTACTCCCTTCTCTCCCCAGAGTTTAATGCCTCGTTCTGGGATCCTCTCTAACCACTGAGCTCTTCTCACACTAAAGAGAGAAACAGCAATTCACAATTTGTCTTTGGGAAAGACTTTTGGTTAGAAAGGTGTGGGAGATAATAAAAACAGTAAAACCCACTTTTCTATAGGACCCTGTTACATGGAATGAAGGCCAGGTGACTCTATGATGAGTCTCTACTACTGTGCAGAAGCCATCCGGAGACACCTTGAGGCCTATTCTTTGCCTTTTAACCACTTCCTTACCTGCTTACCTTCCTTCCTCAACTTAGTTGCCATTAGCAGAGCATCATTTTCTATCAAGAATCACCCAACAAAAATCAGTTCAATCCAGTCTTCCATTTCTTCATCCCAGAACTCATTTCAAGGCTGCGCTTCATAGAACCCAGCAAATTGCATTGGCCAGAGGCAGCAAAGAGGGGGGACTGAAGAGCACATTTGGATTCTAAGCCTTGTTGCACACCTTATTTCAGTCTCCCTAAGGCCTAAGTGAGAGTATAAATCAGATCTACCTGCCCAATATAAAGGTGTCATCTCATCACCACAAGTGAAGTAGTTAAAGAACACAACCATCTGCATCTGTCCATCTCCTACCCCCATCTCCCCCTTTATCAGAACCCAGAAATAGAAAGCTTTGTGCTCACTACTGAGGGTACTGGGGAGGAACTGGGTTCAGTGTTTCCTCACTAAATATCCATACTCTCCTATAAAATTATCTCAGGTTGAGGGGCACTTTCCCTATTCTCTCATTAAGAATCAACAGACTGCAGAGATTACCGATGACAGATGATTGGGGGGTAAACATGGTGCATAGCTTGTCTTTGACCCAATCCCATCCTCCTCTAACAGACAGGAAGCAAAGTTCCTTTCCTTCCTGAGACTGGTGCATGGGACACCTGAGTCCTTCCTTTCCCCATTTATTCCTTCCCATATGCCTTCATCCTGCAATGATGCTTAAATGTGATCAGAGATTCTACATAAACAAAAAGACTTTAACTAAGCCAATTACCTTGCTCCTGTCAATCTTTTTTCACTACCTCCCCCTCTTCCAGCTCCCAGGTGGGAAATCCACCCCCTCCTCCAGATTCCAGGTGGATCATTAATATGCAGAGAGAGCTTCCAGGCCCCAAGACAGATGAGCTGCTCAAGTATGGGGCACCCCCAGCCCTATTCCCTGTAGGATGCCAGGAGACATAAACTACCAATCCCGATCAAGATATATATATATATGACCCACAGGTTGGCACAAGCATCTAGATCTGCAGTTGTGTGTAATCATTCTAAACACCTCTGTGACCCATGGACACTCGTGCACACGCATGTGATGTGTCTCACATCCACACAACACTGCACAGGGATACGTGTGAGTCAGCCTGGCACCTCCTAAATGCTCTGCAGCCCTGCCACACCACAAATACTGTGCCGCCCCTTTGCGCTGCGTGTGTCACCCAAAGGTCCACAGGCACAGGCACATTGTTAGCTTTGCAACTCTAAGCCCGCTCTAACCAACGGGCTCTGCACATGCCTCGCACATGTGGCCTGAACACGCGTGTCAGGGCCGTGTTTCCTTGCACCTGCCAGCATGTGTGCCCAAGAGAATTTACCAGCTGGGCTCCAGCTTACACTCCCCCTCCACACACACACATATTCTCTTTCTCTCTCTCTCTCTCTCTCTCTCTCTCTCTCTCTCTCTCTCTCTCTCGGCTCCAAGTTCCCTTCCCCCCCATTCCCGAACAAGGGACTTACAGAGACCGGAGCTTAATCCACATCTTCTTGCTGGGGGCTGACTTCAGCTCCAGGGGTGACGGGCAATCGGACTCCAGCATCTCTGGAGGGCTGCGAGGGGACAGCTCCATGCTCAGCCACAGTCTAGGGAACAAGAGGAAAGAGACAGCACCTCGGCTCAGCTTCAGTCCCTAGCCGAGAGACCCTCACTCCCCAACCCAGGCCCTTCCCACCTGCGGCTGGCGTGGACCAGCCAGGCCGGTGTCTCTAGGCTCGGCCCAAGCTGGCAGAGCTGCAGTTCCTGCGGCTCCTCCTCTCCCGCTGCCCAGCTGAGCTCTGGGCTCCCGGTCCAAGCTCTCCGCGCCGCCGCTGCCGCCGCCGCCGCGCGCTGCCACAGCCGCCTCCTCGCCTCTCTCCTCCTCCACCGGCGGGGTCCCCCCTCCCTCTGCTCCCCTCCCTTCTCCTCGGCCTGCCCGCCCGCCCGTCTCTCACTCGGCAGCCACTCCTCCCCCTCCCGAAGGAACGACTGAAAGCCGGGGGCACACTCAGACAGAAGCGCCCAAGGGCGAGCGCGCGCACAGGCTCCCGACACCCGAGGCTGCTGCGTGTGTCCTGCGGGGGAGGGGGAATGCGGGTTTGCGGAGTGCAACGCAGAAACAGGCAACACTTTGGGGTGGGTGGCTGTGTAGGTTCCTTTGGTGTGGATTTGGAGTTTCTGTGTCTGTGCATAGGTGGTTTCATGTGTCCACGTGTGCTTAGCTGCCTGCGTGTCCCGTGTGTGAGGGACATCTCTCTGCGGCACTTCACAGGCTGAGTGAAGCCACCTACCATCAGAACCCAGCCAGACCAAAGCCCACCCGCGCTGCTATCTCTGAGGGGTCCCCTGTTGAACTGTGCTGGCATCCTACGGCTTGATCTTCCTTACCTGTCTCCATCAAAGCGGCCTACCCCAGAGGCAAGGTTGCCTCTAGCCACCCTCTGAGTTGTAGGAATTTCACCCAAGTTTAAAGCTTTGGGAATAGACAGCCCCACATCTTCCCTTAATAACTGCATATTGCCTGGAAGTCATTCCTGATAGCTCTCCTCAACCCCACCTGCAGCCGTTCCAGTTCATTTCCTCTTATTCTGTCTTCAAAGAAAGAAATCTAAGGGCTAAAGGCCCAGCATAAAACAGACTAGTTGCTTAATAAACATATGTAATGAGGGAATGGAATTTGAACTCAAGACCATGCCACAGGGCAAAACCACTTCCATCGTGTTCTACCTGAGACTCTTGTAGAAACCACTTCTATTTCTTTGTTCTCCACTGAATGAATGAACTTTGGCACTGGTGAAACTTTCATGTAAACTGAAAATGAAGATGTGTTCACTAATGGCTGGATCTAAAACAGGCCTCTAATCCAGGATCCCAGAATGTAAATTTTAATTTCAAGAACCCCTTCTATGTGTGTGGGGGGAGCGGGAAAGAACTCTTAAACTGGGCATGGTTGTGCATGCCTGTAACCCCAGCACCCACCCACTAGGTAGAGGCAGGAAGATTCCCAGTTTGAAGCCAACCTAAGTAACATAGCAAGACCTGGTCTAAAAGAGAAAGTAGGGGGGAGAGGAAGAGAGGAAGAGAGGAAGAGAGGAAGGAGGAAGGAAGGAAGGAAGGAAGGAAGGAAGGAAGGAAGGAAGGAAGGAAGGAAGGAAGGAAGGAAGGAAGGAAGGAAGGAGAGAGAGAGAAAGAGAGAGAGAGAGAGAGAGAGAGAGAGAGAGAGAGAGAGAGAGAGAGAGAAGGAAAGAAGGAAAAGAAAGAAAAAGAAAGAAAGAAATAGCCAAGGCAATACTCAGTCAAAAGAACAATGCAGGAGGTATCACAATACCTGACTTCAAACTATATTACAAAGCAATTACAATAAAAACAGCATGGTACTGGCACAAAAACAGACATGAAGACCAGTGGAACAGAATAGAGGACCCAGATATGAAGCCACACAACTATAACCAACTTGTCTTTGACAAAGGAGCTAAAAATACGATAGAGAAATAGCAGCCTCTTCAACAAAAACTGCTGGGAAAACTGGTTAGCAGTCTGCAAAAAACTGAAACTAGATCCATGTATATCACCCTATACCAAGATTAACTCAAAACGGATCAAGGATCTTAATATCAGACCACAAACTCTAAAGTTGATACAGGAAAGAGTAGGAAATACTCTGGAGTTAGTAGGTATAGGTAAGAACTTTCTCAACGAAACCCCAGCAGCACAGCAACTAAGAGATAGCATAGATAAATGGGACCTCATAAAGCTAAAAAGCTTCTGTTCATCAAAAGAAATGGTCTCTAAACTGAAGAGAACACCCACAGAGTGGGAGAAAATATTTGCCAACTATACATCAGACAAAGGACTGATAACCAGAATATATAGGGAACTTAAAAAACTAAATTCTCCCAAAACTAATGAACCAATAAAGAAATGGGCAAGTGAACTTTCTCAAAAGAAGAAATTCAAATGGCCAAAAAACACATGAAAAAATGCTCACCATCTCTAGCAATAAAGGAAATGCAAATTAAAACCACACTAAGATTCCACCTCACGCCTGTTAGAATAGCCATCATCAGCAACACCACCAACAACAGGTGTTGGCGAGAATGCGGGGGAAAAAGGAACCCTCTTACACTGTTGGTGGGAATGTAAACTAGTACAACCACTCTGGAAAAAAATTTGGAGGCTAATTAAAAAGCTAGACATTGATCTACCATTTGATCCAGCAATACCACTCTTGGGGATATACCCAAAAAGACTGAGGGTATACCCAGAGGCACCTACACACCCATGTTTATTGCAGCACTATTCACAATAGCCAAGTTATGGAAACAGCCAAGATGCCCCACCACTGACGAGTGGATTAAGAAAATGTGGTATCTATACACAATGGAATTTTATGCAGCCATGAAGAAGAACAAAATGTTATCATTCGCTGGTAAATGGATGGAATTGGAGAACATCATTCTGAGTGAGGTTAGCCTGGCCCAAAAGACCAAAAATCGTATGTTCTCCCTCATATGTGGACATTAGATCAAGGGCAAACACAACAATGGGATTGGACTTTGAGCACATGATAAAAGCGAGAGCACCAAGGGAGGAGTGAGGATTGGTAAGACACCTAAAAAATTAGCTAGCATTTGTTGCCCTTAACACAGAGAAACTAAAGCATATACCTTAAATGCAACTGAGGCCAATAGGAAAAGGGGACCAGGAACTAGAGAAAAGGGTAGATCAAAAAGAATTAACCTAGAAGGTAACACACACGCACAGGAAATCAATGCGAGTAAACTCCCTGTATAGCTATCCTTATCTCAACCAGCAAAAACCCTTGTTCCTTCCTATTATTGCTTATACTCTCTCTACAACAAAATTAGAAATAAGGGCAAAATAGTTTCTGCTGGGTATTGAGGGGGTGGGGGGAGGAGGGGGTGGAGTGGGTGGTAAGGGAGAGGGTGGGGGCAGGGGGAGAAATGACCCAAGCCTTGTATGCACATATGAATAATGAAAGAAAAAAAATGTCAGCAGCTGAAGGAAAAAAAAAGAAAGAAAGATAGCTCTGAGGGTTAGAAGAAGGGGTAATAGTTACTCTAAATATCAGATTGAGTCATCCCTTTCCCAGGCAAAGGGGAGAAAGGAACAGAAGGGAAGTGGTAGGCTGAAGAAGAAGATGGACAGTCACAATTGAGCCTCCTAACGTAAAAGAATTGCCAGCTTAGATCAGGACTTCAGATCCTGCAGAGCAACCACCAGGAAGTACCAAGGCAGAAAGATATGGCAGAGTCAGAAATTGAGAAAAAGTGGAAAGAATATCAAGACTTGCCCCTCTGTCCCTCTAACTTCAGGACAAATCCTTCCTAGCCGAGGAATAGGCCCAACCCAGAAACCACTGCATCTGACAGCCTAGTCACACTCCTATACATTGCAGTTTTCAAAATTTGGGAACAATCTCCTCCCTTATCAATTGAAGAAGGAATGGGCTGGAAACTGCAAAAGAATCACAAATTGAGATTAGAGTTAAAGAGCTCTAATTAGAAAATTAGGATTAGAAATAATCCCAACTTAGGCAGGTATTTAGGCAGGTGGGGAAGAGGTTAGGAGATACACTTCCAAAGGGCTCTCTCAGTATTTCTCGTCAGCACAGTGGTACATCAGGTTCTCCCACGCCCACAATTCCTGACCCATTTCATGAGAAGAAGGGTCATTTGTAAAAGAGACTTTAGAGTACATCTATCCTAATCTCCGTTTAAGTTTAGCCCAGAAAAATTATATAGTCCCACAGAGTCAGTCACAAAGCCAGAGCCAAGTCTCCCAACCTTCTTCCAGTGCCTTTCCGACTCTGTGACTCTTTCACTTTCTTTAGGCCCCAGTCCTAGAGTTTAGCCTCAACCTCATTCCTCTTGGTGAAATCCAATTCTATTTCTGCTTTACTGAATGTCTAAAGAGATAAGAATAGGATATACTTGCTCCATTCACAGACTCGAAAGACAGCCATTCTCCTCTCCCTGTGTTTTCCTCAGGTCCCCCACCCCTACCTTCCCAGGCTCCTTCTGCCCAACCTCATTCCTCTCCTTTTAGCTTCTGAACTGCCCCTGCCCCTTGGAAACCCTGCCTCCTCACTCCCCTAACCCCACCATCCCTTCCAACAAGGCTCTGAGTTTGATAGAGGCCAAAAATGATGCTTTGGCAGCAGGTGACGGATGGATGTGATCCGCCTCCTACGGGAATGCTATTTAAAGGGGTGGCCCCACAATCCTCTCCTTCCAAAGTGACAAGAGAAAAGCCTGCTCCTCAATCTCTCCAGTGCTGCAAACTCAGCTCAAGTTAACTTCTGACTTCCCCAACCTGCAACCTGGCCTGCTGTTCCTGCTTCCTCTTCAGGTGGGAGGAGAGTACTTGACAACTCACTGAGGTGTGGGGGCTGAGGGGACTCATCTTCATCTCCTTTGATGACAGGTACTCTGGAGAAGCAGGAGGCCCTATGGGGAGGAGGACGGGAAGAACATTCTTCCCCCAACAACGTGAGCATATTTCAGCCATGTGCTAGCTTCTTCTCAAAGTCAAACTTTGTTGAAGAACTGATGCAGGCATGAGAACCTTAGGCTAAGGAAGCCTGTCCCTAGCTAGGGCCTCCTTCCCTCCCTCCTAGGTCCTGGAGCTCAAACTACATTTGTTCCCTTCCTGCAAGACAAAGTGTCAAAAAGACAAGGGCCCCCCTTGGCCAGGCCTCAGACCTTCTGCACCTTGAGGCTGCCCATTGGATAGAACGCCATACCAGAACAGGCTGTGTCTACTGACCAAAGGAAAGAGTGCTTCTGCAAGCATCTCCCCTAGGCTGGTAAAAGAGATAATTCCATCTCACTGCTGCAAGTGAGTTAATGGAGACTTTAATGAAAACACTGCACTAATGAAAATGCTGAGGCTAGAGCCAACTCTCTGCCAGCAAGACAAAGCAATCAGAGTCAGAATTTCTCCTTATAGTCATTCCTCAGTTCTCCTGGAGGCCTGCGTAAAGCAAGTTGGGGGAATCTGAGAGTAAAAGCAGTTCACAACTGATTATGTTCTAGGCTGCAAGAAGTCGGAGACCATCCTGGTCAAGGAAGCAAATTATCTGAAATGCTGATGGGTCCCATTACCTCATCTGTCCACTTACTTCTAGACATTTACCTTTTGTTCCAGATGGTAAAGGCCATCCTTGTCCTCACCTCCTCCTCTTTGCTCCTTCTCAAGTCTCTGGATTCTAAATCTTCCCTTATGAAGAGGCAGTCTGATCAGGAAAAAAGTGTAGGACTAAACACTGACGGGTCCTGCTTCTAGTTCTACTACTAAACATGTGACCTTCATTAAATCATTTAATGTTGTTGAATTTGTTTCCTGACCTGAAATAGGGGAGCCTTCCCTGGCTACATTGCAGAATTACTATAAGGATGGAGAAATGCTTTTGAAAAGTGCAAGTGCCAGGTAAGTGTGTGGGTATAATTACATGTTTATGAAAAGATTTTATGTCAAGTCATAAATTTTAGAAGTCTAGAGAACAAATCTGTGTTGCAGGGGGCTGGGTAGGGAAGGGGTGCAGGAGGGAAGTGGGTGTGGTTATAAAAGCAATAGGAGGGGTCCTCATGGTAACGGAAGTGCTCTATATCTTGACTTGGCAGATACACGAACCTACACGTGACAAGGCTGCAGAGAGCTAAATACACATGCACAGAGAATTGAGTATAAGTAAAACTGGGACAGCTAAAGATCGTGGATTATTTCAGTGCCAGTATCCTAGTTGTGACAGTGTGCTATAGTTTTTTGAGATGCTACCATTGAGGGAAACTGTAAAGGTACATGGGATCTTTCTGTATTATTCTTACAAGTGCATGTGGATTAAATATCTCAATAAAATTGTCAAATTTTTAAAAATGAATATTAGCCAAGCATGGTGCTTGCATGCCTGTAATCTCAGCAACTTGGGAGGCTGAGATGAGAGGATCATTTGAGCTCATGAGTACAAGACCACCCTGGGCAACACAGAGAGACCTCATCTCTAAATAAATAAATAAATATTTTGTCTACCCTCCACCCCCCTGCAGCAACTTGTCTTGCTGTCCTCTGGGAAGGTCCTGCTAAGCATACCTCCATGTAGATAGAAAAGAGTTTTCATCTTCTCAAGTAGAAGAACCAAGCAGAGATACAAATGTGGGATCAGCTGGGTGTGGCGGTACCCACCAATCCCAGTACTCAGGCGGCTGAGGCAGGAGGATTGTGAGTTGGAGGCCAACCTGGACTTCATAGCAAGACCATGACTCAAGAAAAAGAAAGGGAATAGTATAGGGTTGTTGATCAGATCCTTCTGCACCTTCTCTTCCCCATCAGCTGTGCTTGTAGTCTCAGTAGGCCTGACACTGAATCACTCCTTAGAATGTAATGTCCTTTCCACAGCAAGGAAGGACGATTAGCTGAAGCATGAAGCAGGATTTTCTGCTGCTTCTACCCTAAAGAGCAGACAGTCGTTGCTAAGAAAAATGTGTGTTGATTATGGGTGCCAAGTTAAGAAAGTATTGACTAAACCCAGGTCTGGAGAAATAAAAAAGCAAACACACACACACACACAATCTCCAAATAGCTATCAAATTGGCTTAATGAAGGTCGAATGGTTTTGCTGAAAGCCAACAATTGCTTCCTTTTCATTGTTGAAGTATGGACATGACCCTAATTAATCAACTAGCTAATCATATTTGCATTCCAACCACTCTGAACTTGTGACACACATGATCTGTTGCTCTGGTCCTCCCTAGCAGTGGATACACAGAGTGACTGATGGGGCCACTGTTTCCCGCCACAGAGTTAACTAAACCTAGTTCAGTGCTATCTCAAACGCCCCAGGCTCTGTGACACTTGAAATTCTAATTAGTGCAGAAAAGGGCTAAGTTGAAACAGCTTGTACTCCCTCAAGGATACCCACTCTCAAGGCCCTACAACGTAATGAGGTCTGTGAAATTTAAGATCTACAAGAGAAATCCCTGCCTGGAGCTACAGCTGTACCCAAGCTGACAGGGGATTTAGGGGCAAATTAGTCCCTCCAAATAGGAGGAAGAGTACCCCCAAAATGGTGTGGGAGGGAAAGTCCACATGAGTCTGCTCTACTTTGCTGTCATGTGACCCAGACAGCCCCTCTGCTCTGGGTTGTGGAGATATCAAAGAAAAAGGAGTCAGGGTAAGAGCAGAAGAAAATATACTCATTATCCACAATGGGCAGGAGAGGAAGTAGGCAGTGAAACTCTCCAGAGGGCACTTCTGCCCTGTCCCAGTGGGAAAGACCATCAAGCAAAGGTAGAGAAAGAGCCCCATAAGGAAGAAGAGGGGTCCCTTTACGGCTCCTCTGCAGTAGGAACAGGCTGAATGTTTACTGAACACATTTGGAAAAGAAAGAGAGGCGATAACAGTCCTAATGAATGTGCAAGAGACAATAGCCGCTCCAGTGGGAGGATTATAAACTCATTATGGTTTAATATGATGATTGATCATCTCTGCTCGCCAGCATTATCCTAGAATAGTGATGAAGGTCGGAGAGAGCCATGCCTGTCAGAGCTCAAGTCTCAGTCACCAGAAGATAGGAAATATGTTTGTAGGTCACTCATTTTTTCATGGTAAAAATTCACACATGTGGCCCATCCCCTAAGTTTGTCTATGAACTGCCCTCCATGCCCCCAGCCTTCCCTACTTCTCTATGATTTCTCAGCCCTAGATTGACTTCTGACCCTCTCTCTCCCTATTTCCTCCCTATACCCCCCGCCCCACTTGAAAAAATAACCACAGCTTCCACTCTTCAGTGGGTACTGGCAGGTACTCTGTTCAGGTGGAAGGTCCGGGATACCTCCCGATAGGCGTTTCGAAGTAGAACGTAAGGAAAACAGGACTCCAGCATGTCCAGGGTCAGAAAGGATGACTCCTCCACCACCTGGAACAGACAGGGCCAAGAGATGAGAACCTCCAGTAGCACGTAAGTCTGTGACATTCTGTTCCTCTTAATGCAGTTTTCCTGGGCCCTCTGTGGCCCTTAGAGTTATAAGTAAACAGGGTTCCAAGTCACATCCCTGCTTATTCCCTTGCCTAATTTGGCCCGGAAGGCAATGTGGCCTCAGCTCCATTACAATGGCCTCTGTCCCCTTCGTCAACGCTGACGTGAAGGACATGGGGCAGGGTGGGGGGGTTGACACACAGGACACTTTCCTAGTGGCAGAACAACCACATTCTCTCCAGTTTTGATACTAAATCATATGTGGGAGGGCAGCACAGTTTCAGGTAAAGATGGATAGAAGTGCTAATTACAAAGCTTTGCAGCCAGAAAAATAATTGCCACTTTAGGTCAAGGAGGAGGGGTCTGGAATCCACATGGGTCCTCTTGTACTGGGCCTCCAGCTCCTTACTCTCTCAGTACAGAGCTTGGGGAACAGTAAGGATGCTACATAAAGGAGCAGGCATGATTAATTAGTTTAATTAGAAGCCTGCATGCTATGGTAATCCCAGCAGCCCCCACAACCAAACAGGAAGACAGATCTGGATGCCTGGATAAGATTAAGAGTGGGGGTGAGATGGAGGTGAGAGGGTGGGGATGGGTGGAGGGGGCATATGCCCAGAGAGCAGCACAAGGCAGTGTTGGGCTGAGGGTCTCCATCTCTGAGGAGGAAGCCGGGTGTATTTCCTTCAGTCTCTTCCTCATCTAAGAGGTTACAGGACAAAAACCATGCTCCAGAAATAAAGAGTTCCACATCCTTCTGGCAATCCCTACAGATGGCCCTCCCCAGTGTGCCTGGTATTTCAAGTGCTGAAATTTCACTATAGAAAGAGAATCTACTGTATCTATTCTAACATGTTTCTGTTATGTCTCTCTCCAAAGTCCCTTCAAGTTATACATTAGTAAGATTTTGCTATTCTCAAACACACGCTCACGCAGTACACACACAGCCTCAGAAGAGCAAACACTCCAGGCTGGTAAAAAGGAAACCTGCTGGCAAAACTGCAGCCCTGAGCCAAGGTTTGAAAACAGAGAAAACTTGCTGTGGTTGATTTCCAACCCTAAGCCAGAGAGAGAGAGGAGCTCTCCTACCAACAGGTACAGGAAAATGAGTGATGACTCTAGGAGGGACCCACTGGTCCATGACTTCCTACTCTCAGCCAAGCACAAGAGAATAACAGGGCTTCTTACTGGCAGAAGTTTATGGTAGTGGAAACAACCCGAGCATAGGTTCTGGTCCCAAATCTGCTGGTATATTTTAAGGGAGACCTCAAGTCTCATCTTACCCTCACTCTTCTTCAGTTTCCTCAGCTATGAAATGGAAGTACTGGACAAATTGCCAGGATCTGGTCTGGCTCTAACATCAAAGATTCCATGATTCTCTGTGGAGCCATATGCCCTTCCCCCATGAAACCCATGCCGTGAACAGGTTGGCAATGCTGGGATGGACACTGTCCAGGCTTGACCATAAAGACAGGAAGACCCCAGGGAGATAAAACTGGTCAGAATTTGGAGTTACATGAAAAGCCTCTTAACTCAAAATTCAGCTCTTTCCCTTCCAGTCATTTCCAATTTCTCTCTGGGAACATTTGCATTAAAGTTGCTTTGTAGCAGCTTGTCCCTTCAATCTCCATCTCCAGTAAAGAGAGTCCTGGTCCTAGCTCTGCTCCTACCTCTGTGGGCCTCACAGGAGGGCCACAAGAGGCAGACACTTTCTCACACTTTGGAGAAGGGCTTGTGGTGGGGGTCAAAGCAGAGGGAGTAGGGCTGAATAACAATTCAGAACTGCCAACCTTTACAGAGGTGAAAACTGCCAAAGGAAATATAGAAGTATGTCCAAATCAAGCAGAAACTAAAATGAGCAGCAGACAAAGGCAACTATATTTATTGAGCACCTACTATTTACTAGGCACTTTCACACATATTATCTCATGAATTCAAACCACTACATCATAAGAATCATTGCCCACTTTTGTAAATAAAGAGTCATGCTGCTGCTGAGTATGGTGGTGCACACCTATGGTCCTAGCACTAGGGTGGCTAAGGCAGGAAGATCACAAGTTCAGTCAAGTTTGGGCTATATAGTAAGACCCGGTCTTAAGAAAGGGAAAAAAAAAAAAAAAAAGAAGTCATGCTGCTTCAAATGCTGTGCTCCACTTAGCCCACTCCTGGCATCTGCCCTCCCTCTACCCTTACTTTCATCCCTGGCCCTGGCACCCCTCACCACACACAACATACACATATGTACCCCCATGTCCATTCTATCTGCCAATATAATCCCATTTATCCCAGGCCTTTTTCTAGCTAGAGAAACTGGGACACAGATACCACTCAGGGTTTAAGTATTTAAAGAAGGGAGGGAGTCCCAGGGATGCCTGCCCCTAACATTTCTGGGCCCAGGCCAAGAGTACAAATGACTAAAAAACAAAAAAAAAAAATTATTATGTCCTATCTTTTCAATCTTCATAATATACCTTTGTAATTTCATGGAAGTCTTAGTTTAAGTTAAGAATTATTAGACTCCCCAGAGTTCTGCACCAAAACAGGGAGAAAGAGGAAAGCAGCTTTCCACCCAGTTCCCTTTTTCTTCTTACTCTCAGTTTGAGGGGTTTTATATACACATGTGGACTTCCCTACTGCACATCTAAACTCCAGCCACACATTCTTGGTCACTAGAGGTACACCCACAGTCTGCCTCAGTAGTGTAGACTTGGGAAAGAAGTTCCGCACAGACCCCACAGGTGGGCTGGAGAATTCTGGGGTCCCAGATATCTTTAGTGTGGGCTTTGAAGTGGGATATAGGTTCCAGAGAAGCGTGAAAGGAGGGTCTCCAAATAGGCCTAGGGCAGCAACTCCTCCTGTCCACATCTAAATGTGATACCAACCTGAGAATCAGACTTTTTGATCAAGAATGAGTAAGCTCATTGAAAAGAGAAACAGGGTCATGAGGGGAAAAAGTCTTTTTAAAGTCAACTGTGTTAGAGTTTCCAGAACTTTCTGCCAGAGTAAAACCAAGCCCACAGTTTAGGAAGCAAGAAGAGATACCAGGAACTGCCTGATTCATGGCCTACCAGGCTCCCTACCTTATAGCTAAAATCACCCCCCTGCTGGGAATCCCACCCTCAAACCCATTCAGTTCCTCTCTGTGCTATCCAGTACTCTTCATGATATCCTTAAAGACAAGAAATATAGTGGTAGAAAGTAGTCAAGTAAAGCCAAACTCATACTGGGTAGGTAGTTACTGGGAAGGGACACAGTTGTCCCCTTCCCAGGTCAGACTCAGGAATATTACCAGAAAAGAGAGCCTAGTCCTGCAGAGAAGTCCTAAGTACTATACTCTGGGATTGCAAGACAATTCTAAAATGTTCAATAAAATGTGAGGACAGACCCAAAGGTCAGACAGAATTAAGTTCTTAGTTAATGCTTTTGGGTGATGACAATGGCAGGACCCAAAGACCCTAAAAAGGAGTCTTCCACTGGCTCTTCCTCTCTTTTCCCAAACTAGCTTAAACAAGATACATACCAGGCGCATGAGCAGAGAAATGGATTCCCGATTCCTGGTTTTAAGCTTGTCAGTCTCCTGGCCCAGCTGCAAAAGGCTGACAGAGGCCACCTGTAAGGGAAGCATTTGTAAAGAAGCAGATTTTTATGGAGGTCAGAATAGGACAGCCTCAGGCTACAGGAAGTTAAGAAAAGATCAAGGAGGGGAGTTAAGACGTGCTAGGCTGTTCCTGAAGACTCGGGATGAAAAAAGTGGCAAGTCCCCTAGGTTTCAGAAACACACATTGCCTACAAACCAGCTCGAATCTCACTGGCCTGCCAGTGCAGATAACAGAAGCTTGCTGAGGTGCTGGAAGAGAGGTTGCAAGGGGCAAGGGAAGAACCTAGAACAAAAGCTTCTGATGCTGTGTGCCAGGAGATTAATGTCTTTTTTTCCTAGGCAGCCTCCAGACACCTCTGTCATCAGGCTGTTTACAGCTGACTCCCTACCCAACCAGAGCCAGAGTTGGGCCTCTGATTCAGACACAGTGCTCTTGGTATTCTCCTCCTGTCAACTCCCAAGTGGCTGTCATCTCCATTCACTTCCAGGCTCCAACAGATCAAAGAGGGAGGACAAAATGTGAGTCACATCCCAGGCCCAGGTTACCTCCATTTAGCAAACAAATAGAATAAATGGAAAAAGAACCTTCTCATCTTAGAGATCTCGTGTGAATCCTCTTTATATTTAAGATGCTTTAAAGCCCATTCTGTCTGAGCTGGTTGTCCCAGCTCAAATAAAGACCCTCTAACCAATCTATAGATTCACATTTCTCAGGATAAAGGTAGAATTCCTGATAGAACGATATGATCTACTGTTCCCTCCTGGAAGAAGAATGGAAGCTGTACTTCTTAAGTCAGAACCATATTATGCAAAGGAAGAAGCTCCCTATTACCGAGAATGCTCAGAGGGTAATGGACCATGTTGTCAGAAGTGTATGGACAGGATTCCTCCATAGAGGATTTAGAATGGAAAACTCTAGGGCCTCTTTCAACTATTGAAGATTGTTCTATGTTTTTCCAGAGGCAAAACTAAGATCAATGGTGATTGTTACAGGGAGTCAAACTCTGGCTTAAAACATTTTTCAACAATTTTTCAAACAAATTGGACACATCCACATGGAATCAGCTGCCTGGTTATAAACTCCAGTCCCTAGAAATCTAGTCCTGTGGTTCTCAAAGTAAGGTCCCAAGACAAAGAGCATCAACATTAACTGAGAACTTATTGGAAATGAAAATAAATGTAAATTCTCCAAAAGATTTTGATTTACCACAAAGTTTGAAGACTAGTCATTGACTGTCAATATAGAGTTGCAAAAGCCCTTATAGTTTATAAAATTCAGAGTCTCTACAACTTTAATGTATATCTGATCCCCTGAAGACCAAGTTAGAAACACAGAGGCCTGACCTCACCCTAGCATATTCTAATTCAGTAGGTCTGGGGTAAAGACCAAGAATCTATTTTAACAAGATCCCCAGGATATTCTGATGCACAGCAAGGTGATGAATCATGGATTCAGTTTAATCTCCCTAGTTTATAATGAGAAAACTGAGGCCCCAAAAGTTTAGTTCTCCAGAGATCACATAACTTCATAATGTCAAAACTCAGATTTTCCTTTCTAATGGTCTTTCCAAGTATTAAGGAAGAGGCTGAAACACCAGATGTAAGAGAATTTAGAACAAGCTCCTGCCTTTCACAAAGTAACATCTCACTTTACAGAATGAATTAGGTGGGAGGTTAGACTCCAAAACACATTCAACAATAACTGTGGATTTAAGTCAAATCAATTCCAGTCCTTTGCAGTCTTCCATTCCTTACAAATCTAGACCCACTTACCACCAGAAATTCCTTGAGATGAGTTTCAATGTTCTTGTTGTACAATGTAAAGAGAGCAGCAGACACCTGGATGATCGCTTTGGTCAAGCAGTGGATGTTATTGTTGAAACCTAAGTTATATTATGAAGGGAGGGGGGAGAAACAAAGGAAATGACAGTAAGCCACACCAGGCTGACCCTAACCAACTGGTAATTTCTCATTACCAGCCTAGGCCACCCTTATTTGACACCAAAAGAACTAGATGACATTTAGGGATTAAAGGAAGGATATTCCTATGACATTTTACTAGAACAGAACTTTATGCATAGTTCATTCTCAAGTGCTTTTTGAAACAGAAATTTATACCTTAATCAGAAGTCTGTATCTTCCAGGTAAGTATCTTTATCTCATCTCCCTCCCCAGGAGACACCTGAATAGCTCTGGTCCCTCAAACCTACTCCTTACTTACCATCCTTCTCAATGCTGTAGAAGGAAGAAGAGTCAGTAGCAAGGAGTGGGAGAGAAACGGCAAGAAAGATCAAGAGCAGGCAGGCCACCTTATACTCTTCTTCTGGAGATGAGCTATCTGGGAAAAGGGAAAAAAGAAAAGAGGAAAGATGAGTAAGGTAAGCAAACAAGAGTTATCTTCTGTAGGATCATACTTCCCAGAATTGTGATCACATGAGCAATTGCCTATGAATATTCTTTATCAAGTTCTGTGGGCAAGTTATTACTGAAGGAGACAGGACTAGCATCCACATATGGTGAGGGGTCCGAGTCCTAAGACCCCTGGTGATAGGGCAGAACTCTTAGCCAAGAGCTCTGCTGCCATGCAGTCCTAGGACACCTATCAATCAGCTGCTTGAAGGGATGAAGAAGCAGGAAGGAGAGAAAAGATTCTCACCAACCAAGAGAGAACAAAAGAAGTGAGTCTTGCAATTTTGAAGGGCTTAATACCACCCCCTGGGTTCTATCCTCTTTTGGGTATGTATAAGTATGAATATGCTAATCAGAGCAAATGTGTAATGGAACATATCAGAGGCAAGTGTGAGCCTGGAGAAGAAGTGGATAGTGTCAAAGTGATTATGTGGGAGGAAAGAGCACAAGATCACTGTGGGGAACTTAGATACTATACCACACATCTTAGCATGAAATTATATACGATTTTGAGTTGTTCACTCATTGATTCATTTGCATTAATCTTATTTCCCCAACCAGACTGTAAGATCCTTTGAGCACTTGCTGAGCACCAGATTCTTACTCAGAACAATCTTTTTCACTGGTTGGTAGATTAACTGATTGGAATCTGAGGAGAAACCTAAATCGCCTTTGTATTTTCTGAAGGTTAGGGTAGAGTCTGCACTTTAAGTCTTTCCCTACCTCCCAGCTTATAGCCTCTGAATTCACAAACCCAAATAAAGGCTTCTTTGACATTGACAGTTTCCCACCTGAAAGTAGGGTACAATCCCTCCCTTCAGGGCTCTTCCCCCTATCTTACCAGCTTTCAGATTGGCAATGGCAGCAACCAGAGCTGGGTCAATGTCACAGCCCACACCTGCAGCAGATGCCAGTTCAAAGATACTCAGGGTCACCTGGTAGAGAAGAAAACAACATTTTGGAGAGGAATCCCAGGAGAAAAGTGCTTGGCAGAAGTTACATGTAGCCAGGATTCTTGGATCACAGATTTTAAACTTTTGTTATACTACCATTGTTTTCTAGATATTCCTTAGCTCTCCATAACCTGCAAGGAAGGCACTCAAATGCTTTAGCTTGGCATTTAGGATCCTTCATAATACAAATTTATTTTTCAACCTTACTTCCCTATTATTTTAGTCAATGCTGACAAGGTAATTTATTCATTGTCCCCAAACTACTGCGTCCTTTCTTTCATACTTTGATTCCCATCCTTCCCCTTCTCTAGTGTCCTTTCCTCTCCTTTGAGTATATCTAAGTAACACCCATCCCTCAGTCTTAACTCAAATCTCATCTTCTCTGCGAAAGCCTCCCTGATTACTTCAACTCAAACCTACCTCTCCTTCTTCACTCTGGTCCCACTGACAGCACTGATCACACACAGCTAACTTTTCAGAGAGGAAGTAAGACATAAGGTTTAGCTCACCACATAGATTCTAATTATTTTTTAATCCTATGGCCTAGTGAAGGGATAAGGTGACTTTGGAATGGAACAGATTTCAGCTCAAATCCTAGCAAAACCACTTATTAAATGTATAACTTTGGCTGAAAGTTACTTAAACTCTTTGAGTCTCAGTTTTCTCGCCTGCAAAACTGGGATAATAATTATCTACCTCACTGTGTTGTTGTGAAGATTAAATCATACCATGTGTGTAAAGCACCTACTCCAGTGAGTAACAATGATTATTATACCTTTCCTTCCTCTTCCTTTATTATAAAGCCAAAGAACTTTACGTTTCTTTTTATCCTCTGTAGTGACTAACATGATGCTAAGCTCATAGGAGGCATCCAATAAAGATGGATTGATTGATAACTGAATCCCTCATTATCTTAGAGTCAGGTTCCCAGAATATAGCTCCATCCCTCACTCCCACACCAAAGTACATAGACTCATTTTGAGGTTGAAAAAAAAATCTTTAAAATGTTTAGAGATAACAAGGATAATTGTTTCAATACTGGACAACTAAATAGCACATTGTTATGCAAAGAATCTCACACTTTACAACTCACACATGTACTTACTCCTGGTACCCACACCAAAGCCAAACCTTAGCCATCGTCTTCTTTGCCTTTCATTTAAACCCTCTATGACCCAGATGACCCTGTTTGTGGCAACTATGGCCAAACAGGTCAGGGACCTAGTCTAAAACCTGTGATTTCCTGGAGGAAGAAAGGGATGATTGGAGTGGTCTATTTTCTCTTCTAATCTTCTCACTCCTCTTTGCAAGTAACAGAATCTTTTATGGACGAGCCATCCTCTTCTCTGCCCCACCTGCTTATTCTCATAGTCAGACAGAGCCTAAAGACTGGAGCTGCCCAGGAGATGTCAACTAGACAAGCTCCTGACAGACTGGAGCATTCAGCCTCAACATCAGCAGCTGCCAGCAGGCTTAGCCTCAAATAAAAGACCATTCGAGAGGGGCAGCCAACCTAGAGGAGCATTGCTCTTTACTGCCCCCATGACCACCTGACCCTAAGGTGATTTCAAGCATTTAAAGGGGGAAACTTCCTAACTCTTAATCCCAAGATAAGGAAGTTTTTCTTAACATTCTAGTTTAATTCTTCCTGTTTACCAGTCCTTTCATATCAGACCTCTCTCCTTTGAAGGAATCAATCATAAGGGAAGTTGCCTGCCCATCATGTTAGAAGGACCTTGTCCACAGACCTTGACCGTATTTCCTGCTTGCTCCAGATGATTCAAAAGACAAGCTTCCTCAAAGGAGCAGGGCATAGGTAGTTAACTCAGGTTACCTGCAGAAGCCCTTCTTCCTCTCTCCCTATACTACAGTCAAGGGGCCCAAGGCAAGTGACACAGACATAGGGAATCAGAAAGTTTAAGAAAAAAAGAATTTGAAAAGGCTGAGAACATAACTCAAATGGTAGACTATCTACCTAACAACGTCCTGAGTTCAAACCTCAGTACAGTACCATCAAAAGGAAAGACAGAAAGAAAAGAACTGAAGGAAGGAAGGATGGGAGGGAGAGAGAGAGAAAAGAAAGAGGGAGGGAAGGAAGGAAAGAGGGAGGGAGGTAGGGAGAGAGGGAGGAAGGGAGGGAGGAAGGAAGCTCTGATGGCAGGCAGGCAGGGTGGGTGGGAATGGAAGGAACAAATCTCACAAAGAATATCCAAGCTCCTGATTAAAGAGGGGACCTGTTTGCAAATAGCTTGGGATCTAATTTGCATGTTGCTCGTTTTAGGTGAAAGCTTACAGATTCTACCTGAGATGTCATACCTTATCCTCCAGGAACCCCACAGGAGTCCCACTTCTCTCCATATTCCCCATGGCTCCTCAGCTCTGCCCTCTCTAAGGATGTCTGTCTGACCACTTTTCCTACTCAAATCCTGGCTTATTCTGCAGTTTCTCAGAGCCTCTCTCCCTTACAAGATCCTAGTAACATACTTTTTCCACAGCAAAAAGCCCCCTAACTGGATCCCACTTTGCACTCCACTCCCTACCTTGATGTCTGTGTCTGGAGTGACAAACTCCTTCAGGCACTCAATGGGGCCCATGAGAAATGGGCAGTGGGAGGAGAAAACCTAGAGGAAGAGAAGATGAGTTCACAGTACGGCACCTCCAAAAACAGGTGGAAACAAACAGAAAGGGGGCCTGACTTAGAGAAGAAGCTAGCCAGCTTTCCAAGCTACCCATCTCCTTATACTTCCAGGTTTCCTAAGTTCATCTCCCCACAGGACCTCTGCTAAATTCAACTGCTTCTCCTCTATGCTCACCTACCCCTCCCACAACTTCTCATACAAACCCTACCCACAAAAGTGTCTGGGGTTCTCTGATAGCCTCCCTCCCACTCACCTCCCGAAGTCCCTCTTGGGCCATGGCCCTAAAACTGAGGATCACTCCAATGATGGTCATACGCTTCAGGACATTTTCAGCTCCTGAGGAGAAAGAGGGTTGTTAGAAAGGGGACTTGGGATAACAGTGATAATTGTGCTTCTTCAGACGCAGTCTAACTCCCAGATCCCTGAAAATACCTGTCATTCATAAGGCTATTCCCACAGTTCTTTCTTACTGCAAAGAAGAATATTTACCAGTCAGCTGGGGCAGCAGAGATGCCATCAAGTCTGGCTTGCTAAAGTTGGATCTGATCTGAACAAGTATATCCATGTTTTCCACCACCAGCTTCTGCAGCCCAGGAACACAGAGATACCAAGCAGGAAAAGAAGAGACCAATGTTCCATCTTCCCCCCAGTCTCTACCACCTACCCCTCTTCCTATTTCCCTGGGGCCTGTTTCCACAGTACCTTCAGCTCCACAATCTGAGAGGTCACATGCCACATTAGGTTTTCACTCAGGAACTTCATGCCATAGGGACCTAGGAGTTCAGCCAAGGCCCGCATCTCTGGAATAGAGTTTCAGAGATCCCAAGTAGGACTCAGAGACACTGGAACACTGGTACAACAGCTACAGGGTCATTTGAATTTTTAAAATTTTGCCAAGTAAGAGAAGGAAGTAAGATGTCAAGCAGCAAAAAAATGGCCTGCAATCCTACATTCAGGTAACAGGTCTGACCTTCCATGGAACAATTTACACTCTTCCCACTGGTGCTCACACATGACTTATCATAAATGGTGATTACTCACTTCTTATAAGAATCTGTTCTTCCCAGACTCTTTACATGATTCCTGAGTTCTACTCTTGCTGTACTAGCTGTACTCAATTTATTAGATATAAGGCCCCACAAAGTCACCAAACCTCTCTGAGGCTGCTTACTTCTCTATACAATGAAGAAATCATGTCTTCCATGAATTCCTCATAGAATTGATGTGAGAATAAGAAATTGCACTATAAAAGCCTTTAGAAAGCTAATTTGAACAAAGTACATTATATGCATGTTGTAAATATCACAATGAAACTCCCTTGTACAATTAATTTATGCTAATAAAATAATTAAGTTTAGAAAGCTGTAGAGATTCATATGAATAAGGGATTATTACTGTGATTACTATTAACAGCCCTCTGAGGTATGGGGGACATGCGTTTCATTCTGGTTTTACAAACAAGGAGGATTAGGTGCTTGGCCAAGTTCCTTAATCACATCAGGGACATGTCCAGAAACCCAGTGCAATGCCTCCCTGCCCTCTTACTGTGCCCCAACAGAGATAACTCTTTTCTTATCTAAAACCTGGCTTTTTCTGCATCCTCCCTCTACTTCCCTTATTTAATGCCTCGTTGTCCCAGTTTTCCTCATCTTGAGCTGCCTTTTCTTTTTTCATAATCAACACACATCCCTAGAGTCTCAGTTCTTTTTTGCTCTAAATTCTTTATTCCTCTAAATCTGGTGTTCTCTAATGCCTTATCCCTCCCCACCCAGTCTGTTCTTGCCCTTTGTGAATTAAATAAAACCTACCTAGGGGAATCCCATGTTGGAAACACTAGTGACAAATTCAGATAGGAAGAATCTCTGGTTATGATCTCTGGCTATGAGCCATCCCAGCAGGGGAAACCATAAAAGACCAGAAGTAACAACAAAAGACTAGTAGAAGAAAGGCAAGTTCAATGTCATTAATCAGAGTTCAGAGCAAAAAGAAACTCTAGTCTTTGAAGGAAGAGTCAGTTGATCTCTACCTTTACCAACAGAGGAAGCAGACTTGGTCTCAGGAGCTGACATAGAGCCTGGTCCAGAGTAGCTACTAGACATTTTTAAAGTCTTTTAAAAATTTTTAAATTCTTCTATTTGTAATAGAAGAATTGAGCTGAGAATTATAAAAGGATTATTTTATAACTGATCAACTTAGACAGTGCCAATATGGCAGCCAGAGGTAAAGAGCGCAGAATTGCCTTCTCAGCTGCTGATGAAGAGAAGACATACTGGTCCACCAGTTGGATCTGCAGAACCTCCTTACTTCAGTCATCTCTACCCCCAGCTAGTCACCCTAGGGCATCCTTCTCTTTTTATCTATCTATTTTTGTAGTAGCATCACCCCATCACCATGGAAACCTAGGAAAATTGGGGTGGGGGTGGTAGAAGGGAGAGTGTGCACTACCTCCCGCTGCTTGTCAGTTTTTAGCAAGACCTAAAGAAGATTTTAGAGGCTGCCTATAGTTTGTGGGTAGAGTTGATAAGAAGGGATATCCAAAACCTCCCACAGGTAGAGTAGTGTAGCTTACTGCTGGAGTCCAGATGACAGTAAGAAGGCAGAACTAGGAAACAGAACTGTGCACTCTGGCTTTCTTATCCCCAAAGAAAGAGGAGAATGGAGAGGGCAGGGTCACTGGAACACCTGCTTGTCCCATATCCCATGCATAATCCACAAATTATGTGGAGGTGAGAAGAAAAGGAAATAGGATTGTTCATGAATTAGTCACTTAAAAAGGATATATATGCATTCAAGCCCTCTTTAAAAAGGTAACAGCTTCCTAACTCACTGAGTACATACCCCTTAGCATCCTCCTTTTCACCCTCTCCCGGCCACCCCACCCCCAACACACACACACTACACAAAAGTACTGCTATATACTGGGAAGCAACTCTGAACTCTCCTGGAGTTTCACTGCTTTGAGTTGAAATTCCAGTCCTATCATTTACAAAAGCATGACCTTAGCAACCTCTTAACTTCTTTGAATCTCAGTGTCTTCATCTGAAAAATGGGGTGAACAAGAGCATCTACCTCCTCGAGGCTGTTGTAAGGATTGAGTACTATGTGTAAACACTTAGAACTTAGCCCACAATAAACATTATTCATCATCACATTGTCATTACTGTTAGACATCAGCAGTCCAAACACTGGCCAAGATCTAAAAGTTATCATGAAGTAAGAGGATATCATGACATCAAACCCCTGTTTAATCATTACAAATGTAAGAATGCCCTCCTTGCAATTCATCCTTTACCCCATCACTGTGTGTGCTGCTCCTTTATTCTTTTCTTTTTTTTTGACAGTATTGGGCTTTGAACTCAGGACCTCACACTTGCTAGGCAGGCACTCTACCACCACTTGAGCCACTCCACCAGCCTGTTCTTTTATTCTTGACAGAAAAGGATAATGACCCTTTATCATCCTTTAAAAAATAAATCCCTTCAGTGACTTGAGTGCCCCCACCAAACTCTTCAACTCCCTTCTTTTCCCTTTCTACTTTTAACCCACAGGGTTGAAACCCCAATCCTCAATTCAAGGCCATGTTTACACTCTCTTGTTATTTGTCCCACAAGTTTAGCAGAGTCTAGCAGAGATGTGGGGTCTTAGGCCAAGGTACAGTTTAGGGGAAAGTTTCAGCTTCTTAGTAAGGGGACCAGGCCCTGGGCTCACCAGAGATGTCTGAGAATTCCTCTGCACTGAAGTTCTGCTCCCCCTCTCTGGGAAGGCTGATGAAGGCCTGCATGGCTGGGGAAAGGATGATTGTCCCACTGCTCGCCTGTCTGAGGAGACTTTCTAGGTACCTAAAGGGTTAGCCAAGAAAGCACAGGTCAGTGTCCAATCCCGTCTCCCTGCCAACAGTCCTCACCATCACCACTGGATCTGGGTGAGAAACTTCACTAAAGGCTAAAATGAGAAGAAACTCAAAGAAGGCAGTACAACAATCTAATTAACACCCCACACTCTTGGATCAAAAACAGTTGCAATAACATAATTCCACTTGGTCTCTAATCTGCAGGGAATTTCATTATGCTGTCAAATGGAATGGCATGCACTCCCCTTCCTCAACCCCTGCTGTTTTCCAGCAGTTGCATTCTCCTTCACCCCTACCCTCTGTCAAGTAAGACAAGCTCAACCTGGCACTCAAAAAAAACCCTACTGATTGGGCTTCTCTGATATATACCTAGTCTCAACCTCTCCAATGAAAATTCCGGACTAAGGATCTAGGATCCTGGAAGCCAGTCTCAAGTCAAGTCAAACCTACTGGGCAGAGAGAGGGAAGCCCCATGGATACTGGTCATCCAGACCCCAAATATTCCCTCCTGATCTCTTGGCAAGTTAGAGATGCTGGGCTCCAACCAGTGTCAGCAGAGGACAGTTTAACCAACCCTTGCCACTCACCCAGGCACTGGCTCTTGGTCTGTACTTAACAACATCACGAACCAACCACCAGTGAGCCAAACCCAGTTGCCAAACGTATTTTTTTTTCCTTTTAATTTCAATCAGTCATCAAATTTTTGAAACAGAAAATTTACATTAAAAAAAAATTTAGGGAGGCAGCATTCAGGTGGTGCTAAGTGGTGGCTGTCCTCTTTAGAGGGACATTCCTTCCCCAACCCCTAAAAGTCCTCACGTAGCTCATGACATCCATTTACCTTACCTGCCTAAGCCCTTTTGGCATTTGTACTTGCAAACATTGTTTCCCCTTACTCAGGGGGTTCGCCTTTGCAGCATCTCATGCTAAACTGATATTAGATTAAGAACGCCACCCAGTGGCTTAGAGAGGTAGAAATGTGACTCTTCTGCATTAGGAAATGGTGCTGATTCCACCTTCTCCAGTTTGGGAAGTGGGTTCCCTTCCCTACTAAGAACAATCTAGCAGACTTGACATGCTCATGTCTGGGGATGAGGAGATTGTGTTCCAGAAAGATTGTTGTAGATAGCATGGTTCTCATAGGGAGAAGACAGGCAAAAAAAAAAGAAGAAGAGGCTGTCAGAACAAGGTTTGGTTTGGGTTTTTTGTAATAAGTTCTTGCTATGTCAACCACACTGGCCTTGAAGTCTTATCCTGCTGCCTCGTCTTCACCAGTGCTAGGATTACAAACTTTGACCAACACAACCGGCAATGAGATTATTTTAAATCGAAACAATGAGAATCCAGAAAAGGAAGTTAAAGACTGGAGATTAAAAGGAGAAAGATCAAGTAGCTAGAGGGTGGGTAAACCGTGTTATACTGAAGGTTAGAAAGAAATCTGGTGGGAGGAGGAGATCTGGGTTTGTCCCAGCTTATTGCTCTGATCCTCAGCAGAAGCAAGCCTCCATTTGGAGGCTAAATGCTTGGGTCCTGAGGTCTTACTGTGTAAAGAAGAAGTATGAACAAAGAGGTGAGGCGGTTTAAGGAAAAATATAGAAGGAGCTTGTAAATAGTTCCAACTAAGCTTACAAATGGCAGGTACGAAACCAAAAAAGTTATTTGTGTCTGCTTATATTGCTTCCTTTTTTGTAGTCTTGGTACCTATACAGAGTGACAGTAGGGGCCAAGGAGAGGCATAATTCTTATATAAAACAGGAATCAGAGACATTTTTATATTTTTTGTCTTCTCTTTTTAGTCAGTTACTTTTTTTAAAAGTTGTACATTTTAACATAAATTATGATGCGCCATTAGAAAAAAATAACCAGAAGTGAGGGAGTAGGGAAGGACAAGTAACACTAACCAGTTTGTGTAGAGAGTGGTAATGGTCTGCTCCCCACACGAGTCCAGTGGTTGTGTCTGCTGCAGGAGGGCATTGCGCACGACTCTGGAAGCATCTGCACCCAAAAACTGCGCCAGTGACTGAATAAGACTGATGTATGCTTTGACTCCCGCCAACAGCTCAGAAGGCCTTTGGATCTCCTGGGTTGTGGCATTGTAACCAGCCAGCCACACGATAGCTCTACGTGGTCAAAACCACAAACATAATTATAATGACAAATACAGTAATTGTTGAGTGTGTCCTTGTTTCAGGTGCTGTGTTATGATTTGACATGTATTGTTTCACTGAAACCTCATAGCAACCCAATAAGGTAGGGACCATTATTATTCCCATTTTATGGATAACAAAGAGACAGAGATAGTAAAACCTATTCTGAAGACCACCCCTAGCAAGTAGCAGAGAATCCATTTGATTCCTAGCCATTATACTCTTCTTCCTCCTTTGCAGAAATTAGGTCAGTTGGTAAAAGATCTGAACTCCCAAACGCCATCTCAGGGCTCACATCACCTGTGTTGTCAGTGCCACTATTTATCTTTTCTCCTCGGAAGGCATTAGTTCCCACTGCTGTCAGGAATGGAAAACCATGCTTAGAAATCCTTGGAAGTGCAGCACAGTCCCCAGTGGCTACTGATGCTAGGGCTGGGTAGAGCACACGTGGCTAGCATGAAGCCATAGCCCACTTTACAGAACTGTATTTCTCCACAGGCCCACCAGGAACACCCCTCCCCACTGGAACCCTAACTCCTTCCAAAATACCTTCCCCAGTTGCCTGAGATTTCACAATTCCAGTCAGGCTTTTTTCCTTGTAAAAAGGTAAACAGTTGGAGAAGAGGAACATCACACTTCAAACCTTTGTCAGTCATTGGCGCCTCAATGTAAGAGTTCCTCAGATTCTTCCTAAGCCACAAGATGTTGGGGAGTGTGTTTGGTGTTTGTGGCAAAAATGTTTATAGTGAAGGTGGGGAAAAGAAAGAAAGGGAAAAGACTCTCCAGTACCACCTGAAGAAAAATAATACAAAAGGAACAGACTGAGGGCAAGTCTAATCTATTTTCACTGAGGCCAAGCCTCTGCACCAACCTTGGGGTTTTGGGAGCAATGATACATAATAAGAATCAGAGAGATTTAGAGAAAATTAGACTATCACACCGGTTCTGCTTCAAGGTCTGGAAATTAGCATCAGCTGTTGAAGGTGTGCACATAAGCAATTATCCCACTGTTATCTCTGACATTGTGTATGCAAATGACACTTCTTCCTATATAGCTAATGTGTATGGAATGAAAACTAATTTTACCTTACCCAAGCAAACCCCTAATTGAAAAATAAATCTGCATCTCCCACAATCAAAACACAGACTCATAACTGGTCTTCCTGCTTCTGTCCTTGCTCCTGCTAACACAGCCAGAGTGAAATACAGAGGTAAATCTTATTATAGCTCTACTGGAAACCAGCCAAGGCTCCCCATCTCAGATAAAAGCCAAAATCCTTACAGTGACACATAAGCACCTACATGATCTGCCGCCCCTCTGCCCTTGCTAACCTCACGTCCCACACAGGCATCTCACCCAGGCACATTCTGCTGCAGCCACACTGGCCTCCTCCACACATCTTGAACATTCCAGCATGTTCCTACCTCAGAGCCTTGGTGCATGCCAATTCCTCTGCCTAGAATGCTTGCTCCCCTGAGAGTCACACATCTGGCCTTTTAGTTTTTTCAGAGGTTTACTCAAATTTCATTTCCTCAAGGCAGCTACCTTATCTAAAACTGCAACACTCCTTCATCACACACACACCACACACACACACACACACACACGTCCTATCTCCCTTCCCAGCTTTATCTTTCTACTTAGTGTTTATCGCTATCTAATCTACCAGGCATTCTGCTTCTTATTTGGTCTATCTCCTCCACTTAAAGGTTAGCAGGATTTTTACGTTTTGTATACTGCTGTGTCAATAGCTTCTAGAACACTCCTGACACATAGTAGGTGTTCAATATATGCTTGATGAATGAATGTACTACATATCCCAAAACAAAACATTGAAGACTGAGGGATCATTTATAGCAGTTCTTCCTTATTCCCCTAATTGCTGACTATAGTGCCCAATTTCAACTTAAGGAATGTTCCTCCTACTTTAGGGAACAATGGAATGAAGAGCAAAGCACAGGAAAGGGAATTTATTTTACTAACACCTGTTATATGTCAGGAGTTTGCACTTGTGTTTAATTGCCTACCAATTCTCAATTACAGGTAATTCACCATGCTCTAGAAGGTAAATATCATTATCTTTACTGTCCGGGGAAGGAACCTGGCTCACCTAAGTCAGATAATCTGCTCCAGTGTCATAGCTAATGGCCAGGATATTGACACAGCTCTGCTGACTGCAAAGGCTCTGCTCATTCTACTAAACCAGAAGGATTCGACTCTAGCTATTCATTAGAACACCTGCAAAGGTGTGAGGCTTTTGGTTTGCTTTTCATAGAGGTACTTGGTACCTATGCCAGACTGACTGTGTCAAAATCTCCAGCAGGTGGCAAGATAGTCAGGATGAATCTGACAGAGTCCAACGTTGAGGGCTGCCACTCAACACTGTGTAAATATGGACAAGAAAGAGCGGTACCTGTTGAGCCTGGCCTCCAGGTGGCTGCTAAGATACTCAGAAGGGAAGATAGTATGTTCAAACACAGAGAGACTGTACACATGATTCATTGTCAGTGCCAATTCTGTCAAGTTGAGGTGTAGCTTGTCCATGCTGGAAAGTAAAATGAGCCTTGATTATGGGTCTGGTACTAGTGTCTGGCAAGGAAGTATCAGGACCATGGACCCTCAGGTAGGACCATGGACCCTCAGGTAGGCCCATGGGCCTTTCATCCTCTAGAGCTGTTCAGCCCAAAACAGTACACATTGTGCTGACTACAAGCACAAAGTCAAAAATTCACACTTACATGCTTTTCCATAGTCTTCATTTCCCATCACCACTTCTCCTTTTTGGTTTTTCGGGGTTTTTTGTCTTGTTTTGTTTTTCCTGAATCACATTCCCTCTTCCCTTTCTCCCTTCTTTAATGCAGTCCCCCCTGGGCCCTCTGGAGCCCAGGCCCTTACTTGGTGACAATGCTGCGGTTCTTTCGGTGACTCTCAGCTCCTGGCTTGTCCCTCTCAGGCTCCCCTTTCCTGGGAGCCTGCCTCTGCTTCATGGACTTCTTGTTCTTGGCCTTGCTGATGGTGGTGGCACAGTGCTTAGGTAGAAGCTTTAGAAATAAACACAGTTGAAGGGAGAAATGAGAATTGCTGCTATCAGTTATAAGAAAAGCTCTCTGTTATGGTCTGCCCTTTTGTCTTTCTGCCTTTCTTTCTCTCTCTCCTTTCATGCTTCTCGTTCTTTAATGGGGACCTTCATGGAATGTGCTCATCTCAGTTTTCATAAATACCTGCCCATGTACAGCCCTCAAAGTCCCAAGATAGCAGTGTTGTTCAGGGACCAGGGCATGGCTCCCCCATCCACATCCTGAGAGAGCCTTTCCTAATGGAAAAATGCAAACAAAAAGAAAAGATTGAAAAGCTCTACTCACTGTCCTTTGTAGGGTCTTCCAACATGGGAAAACAGGTTTGGGGGAGGAGGTGTTTGTGGAATTGTTTGCTTGTTTTTAAAACAGGGTCTTGAGAATTCCAAGATGGCGGCTAGAGGTAGGAAGCAGAAAGCGACCCTCCTATAGTGAAATCTTGGAGAGACGCTGGAGACACACTTTGCAGGCATAATCACCGAGAAAAGGCATAACTTTGACCCTCCACATCTCCAGCCGGCGCAGAGAATCTCCACTTCACGTTAAACGGAGAACCGAGGAGGCCCCCGGGCCGCCAGTGGCCGGCGCCCATACGGCTTGGGAAGACGCGGACCAGGTGAGCTTCGCGGTACCGCGGTTCCCCCACAGACAAGCCTGGGCCAGAGCAGCATAGCCCCCTGGACAGACTGACCTCCACCCGGGAAAAAAGAGAAACTGAGTACTAAGCAATAAGAACAGTTAAGACACGCTGGAAAGAGGGTGGGGCGCCCTGAGCGCTGAAGATTGGGGAAGGGAACCTTCCCGGGACTGTAAATAAACGAGCCGGGCGGGCCGGAGAGCTCTGGCGGGAGCGGGGCGCGCCCAGCAACCAGGAGCGGGGACGCTTGTGAGAGGAGGGAAGACCCACTTCCCACGTGAACTGTAAATAAACACGCAGGCCTGACAACGCGGGGCAGTGGCACCTTTCCCAGTGCTTGGAAAGGGAAAAGCCTGTAGCAGAGGCCGCCGCACAGGAGAACTCTGAGCAAACAAAGCCTGTGGGACCAGGTGAGTGCTAAGCTCACCCCAGAGATCTGCATAAATAACGCCGCCAGCTACAGGCTGAGAGCAGCAGGCAGGCAAGCCACAGTTGCAGATACCACTCTCAGAACTGCCTCCAGACGCTTTTTTTTTCTTTTTCTCCCTACCTTTGATGAGAGAACAACCGAATTACACCTGCAAGCCGAAAAACTTACTGAAACTGTATTGCATTTGAACTGGGGACACTTGGTGGGGCTTTTTTTTTTTTTTTTCTTCTGTGTGTGTGTGAGTGTAGTTTTGTTCTACTTTATGCATCCCCTTTGATGAGACAACTACAGAACAACATCTGAGGCACCAACTCCAGGACTGGAGATTGAGACGGACATCCAAATTATTAAGACTGAAATTGCATTGCATATAAACTTGGAAGTTTTTTGGTTTTTTTTTTTAATTTTCTATTTTCCATTTTATTTTAATTCATTTTTATAAATAGATATTACTTTCATATACTTATTTTTTATTTTTTTTATCTTTGATTTTCAATCCTCTCTCTGTCTCTCTATGTCTGTTCAGCTTACTGTCGATTAGTACACTAACACTCCCTGTTTATACCTTTGAAACTCTCTTGTCTGATACCTTGTTCTGCTTTCTCCCTCTTGTCTGTATATTTGTTTTCCCCTTTTCTTTAACTTCTTGCTTTCCATCTCAGCTCACTCTTCCATTCTCAATATTACCATTGTTATTATTACAAGCTAGAAAATACTTAATTACACACAGTACAGGGACAGTAACAACACCAAGGACAATGACAGGGACAGAAAAAACAAGGAAACCAGTTTCCCCACAGCAAAAAATTAGTACAGGAACCAGAGGGGAATGAAGAGAACAGAAACTCAGATCCAGACTCCAACAAAATGAAGATAAACTATGCCAAAGGACCCAATGAAGCCACAAGAATAATTTAAAAGAAGACATACTACAAGTACTCAATGAGAATTTTATAGAGATGATACTGGATAGGGTCAACCAAAATGTACAGGAGACACTCAAGAAATTCCAAGACAATAAAAATAGAGAATTTGAAAAAGCAAAAGAAGAAATAAAGGAAACCATAGAAGCACTGTATAAACACCAAAGTGAAAGAGAGAACACAATGAATAAATGGATAAATGAACTCAGGACAAAAATAGACAACAATAAAGAAGAAAACAGCCAGGATATGGAAAACCTCAGAAAAAAGAACGAAACAGAACTGCAAAACAAAACGGAAGGCCAATCCAGCAGAATAGAACAAACAGAAGACAGAATCTCAGAACTTGAAGATGAAATGGTAATTAAAGGAAAAACTGAAGAACTATTAATTAAACAACTCAAGACCTGTGAAAAGAAAATGCAAGAACTCACTGACTCCATCAAAAGACCAAACTTGAGAATCATGGGCATCGAAGAAGGAGAAGAGGTGCAAGCGAAGGGAATGCGTAATATATTCAACAAAATAATAACGGAAAATTTCCCAAATCTAGAGAAAGATATTCCCATACAAATGCAAGAGGCCTCCAGGACACCAAACAGACCAGATCAAAATAGAACTACTCCACGACATATCATCATTAAAACAACAAGTTCAGAAACTAAGGAAAGAATATTGAAGGCTGTAAGAGAGAAAAAACAAGTAACATACAAAGGTAAACCCATCAAAATCACAGCAGACTTCTCAACAGAAACATTAAAAGCAAGAAGAGCGTGGGGTGAGATCTTCCGGGCACTGAATGAAAATAACTTCAACCCCAGGATACTCTACCCAGCAAAGCTATCATTCAAAATAGATGGAGCAATAAAAGTCTTCCATGATAAGCAGAAACTAAAACAATATGTGACCACAAAGCCACCATTACAAAAGATTCTGCAAGGGATCCTGCACACAGAAAGTGACACCCAACTTAACCATGAAAAGGCAGGCAGCACCAAACCACAGGATAAGAAAAAGCAAGACAGTAGAGAGTAACATCAAGTTAGGTACACACAATCAAACCTTCAAACAACTAAGATACTAAATGGCAGGAATCACCACATACCTATCAGTACTAACACTTAATGTTAATGGACTTAATTCACCCATCAAAAGACACCGTTTGACAAAATGGATTAAAAAAGAAGATCCAACAATTTGTTGCTTACAGGAGACTCATCTCACCGACAGAAATAAGCATATGCTTAGGATGAAAGGCTGGAAGAAGATTTACCAAGCCAATGGCCCCCGAAAACAAGCAGGAGTAGCAATACTTATCTCTGACAAAGTAGACTTCAAACCTACATTGATCAAACGAGATAAAGAAGGACATTCCATACTAATAAAAGGGGAAATAGACCAAAAGGAAATAATAATCATCAATCTGTACGCACCCAATGTCAACGCACCCAATTTCATCAAACATACCTGAAAGACCTAAAAGCATATAAACGCCAACACAGTGGTTGTGGGAGACTTTAACACTCCATTATCATCAATGATAGGTCATCCAAACAAAACTCAATAAAGAAATCCAAGATCTAAAATATGCAATAGATCAAGTGACCTAGTAGATGTCTACAGAACATTTTCATCCAACCTCTACACAATATACATTCTTCTCAGCAGCCCATGGAACCTTCTCCAAAATAGATCATATCCTAGGGCACAAAGCAAGCCTCAGCAAATATAAGAAAATAGAAATAATACGTGCATACTATCTGACCACAATGCAGTAAAAGTAGAACTCAACAACAAAAGTAAAGACAAAAAACATGCAAACAGCTGAAACTAAATAACTCATTACTTAATGAAGAATGGATCATCGATGCAATAAAGAGGAAATTTAAAAGTTCCTAGAAGTCAATGAAAATGAAAACACAACCTAACCGAACCTATGGGACACAGCTAAGGCAGTCCTTGAGAGGAAAGTTTTATAGCCATGAGTGCATATATTAAAAAGATTGAAAGATCCCAAATCAATGACCTAATGATACATCTTAAACTCCTAGAAAAACAAGAACAAGCAAATCCCAAAAACGTAAATAGAAGGAGAGAAATAATAAAATAAGAGCTGAAATCAACGAAATAGAAACCAAAAACCATACAAAGAATTAATGAAACAAAAAGTTTGGTTCTTTGACAAATAAAACAAGATCGATAGACCCCCCCTGGCAAACCTGACTAAAATGAGGAGAAGAAACACCAAATTAGTAGAATTAGGAAAATGCAAAAGGGGAGGATAAACAACAAACCCGATGGAAGTCCAGGAAA